CCTTGGGCAGGGCACACGCCTCCCACCGCTGGCATCATAAGAGTGCATTTTAATAAGGGAACAAAAATGTGCCCTGACTAGATTTCCACATGAGCTTCCAGGATGATCAAAGGGCAGAGGTTCCCTTTTCAGCTGAACAGACATCTACTGAGTCATGCCAGGCACTGTGGAGCTTGTAGAGGTGAATACACTGCCGTCCTGCCTCCTGGTCAGAGGTGGGTGAGCGGGACAGTGGAGACTTCAGGTTGACGTCCTTTGTAATCAGAGTGGAGGGCATGGGGACAGATCCTGAAAGGCCTCGAATGCAGTGAGATTGGACATTATCCATAGGCAGTGGGGAGTCACGGAAGAGATACAAGGAAGAGCAACAGGATAAGACCAGAACTGTGCCTTCAAAAGCGAGCCTTAGTGGCAGTGAGGAAGATGGCTAGAGAATGATGGGACTGCGTGTAGTAACATTTCAGAGTGTAGAAAGAATGAACAGGTAGGGACTGATGCAGTAGGCCAGAAGTAGGTCATCTCCTATCGGCCCTGTCTAGACAAGGCAGGTGGAGGAGGAGAGGACTGTGGAAGAGGTACCTCAGAGGTCGATTCACGAGACTGTTGTCACGAGACTGTTGGCTGACGGGATAGTGGGGCTGGTGGGCGGGGGACATGCTGATGTGGGCAGCAGAGAGGAGGGCCAATGACTGGCTGAGATGGGAAGCAGGTGGTGGCAAGCAGGTTGGGGGAGGGGCCGTTCAGTGGTGGAACTGTGTGTGGGCAGAGGCGTACCCTGACACCTGAGTGGAGGCCAACAGTAGGAGCCGGAAGCCTAGGACTGGTGAGGACCTGAGGCAGAGGGTTCAGATTGCAAATCATTTGGACAATGTAATTGACTTTGGCAAGGGAGAAATGATAGGTTTGTTCATTGATCCCTTTGAATAATATGCATTCAGAAGCATAGATTGAGTGCTGTCTTTGTAACAGTGCCTTCAAGAACTTCTTAAAGAGAAGAATGCCATGATCTGAGGTGTGACTGTAGGAGAGGCCAGGGGCAGGAGATGGCAAGAACAGCGGGCACAGGAAAGTGATCAAGGGTGATGCTAGGACAAGGGCAAGGGTGCCCAGATGGGCTGGTCATTGTTGGGCAAACCAGGGAGGGTGGTGACAGAAAAACAAAGGAGAGCAGAGCATCAATAAAATGTAGTACAGGCTGGGCTTGGTGGGTCACACCTGTAATCCCAGCACTTTATAAGGCCAGGGTGGGAGGATCACTTGAGGTTTGGAATTTGAGACCCACCTGGGTGACATAGTAAGACCCCATCTCAAAAATAAAATAAAATAAAAATTAGCTGGGTGTGGTGGCATACACCTATAGTTCCAGCTACTGGTGGTGGGGGGTGAGGGACAGTGATGAGGTAGGAGAATTGCTTGAGCCCAGGAGGCTGCAGTGAGCTATGATCATGCCATTATACTCTAGCCTGGGTAGCAGAGCAAGAACCCATCACTTAAAAAAAAAGACCCAAACTTTACCTGTATGATATCCACTCGTATACCTAATCCCGAATTGTACCCCACATCTTTAAAATAAAATATTAAAAATAAATAAATAGAAAGAAAAAGAAAGAAAGAAAATGTGGCACAAAAAAATGACTAACACTGGCCATGGAAGGCAAAGCAGGCAGGAACAGCATCAGATGCTGCAGAGAGGCAAGCCTGGGGCAATGTCACTGGATTAGCTGAGGAGGTCACCCCTGAGCCTCCCTGGAACAGCTTCAGCCCAGCAGGAGACAAGAGCCAAAGCTGACTGGTCATGGGGGCAGAGAGAGAAGTCCACAGGAAGGGACAGGGACTGTCTTGAGAAAGTTGACGGTGCAGGGACGGACATAGGAGATGCAATCTCTGGTGGAGAAAAGGGACCTGTCTGCATTCCCAGCCTCCTCCCATCTTTTTTTTTGTAAATATAGTTGAAGAGAACTGGAATCAGTCTGTAAGCCTAGGAAAAGGGATGATGAAAGAGAGACTGACAGGAAAGTTCCTGAAGTACATGAGGAGGGTGTGTGGGAGCAGAGCTCAGGGGGTGACATTGCTCCAGAAGGTCAACTGGAAGCTTCCGGGGACAGAAGGGAAGGCCAAGTGATGCCACAGCAGTAACTGGAGGTGGAGTAGAGCCTTTGCTTTAACCTGCACCTCAGGAGAGGGGCTCTTGGGGTCCCTGCATCCCCCCAGGTCACTCTGGCCAACTGAGGCTCCTGGTCCAACTCCAACCTGCCCGTGTCTGGGGCCTTGAGAGACTGAGCTGAGGTCATGAGAGGCTGCTTTTTGGTGGAGGTGAGGCTAGCCCCTTTTATTACAGGCACTTGGGTGACCTGTTGGTTGATAGCAAAAAATGACCATGCTACTTTTCAGGACTAAAAATCATAACTGTAGCTGAGCGAAAGCAACATGGTTCAAGGCCTCCTGATATCAGTGGAAGCCAGTGGAATCCTATCCCAGCTGTGCAGAAACAAGGGCACTCCCTGTGAATGATAGCTCAAAGTAAACCCTAGATAGTTGGGGTTTCAGTTTTGTATCTGACAAGCAATGTCAGTCTATAAATGCCTTACCATGCATTGTCAACTTGACCTCATATCATTATCCAGGAAGTTTGTGATTATTTTTATAAGCATTAGAATAACATAACTTTATTAGGCCCATAAAATTCAGTAACTGTAAGAGGACACTATTATACATATGTGTGGTGTGTGTAAGTAGATGGTTTTAATACAGAATGTAAGTTTATATTAATATTTCCAAAAGGAGACAATAAAGCAGTGAGTAGGAGTAAGGGTCCCAGTGAGGTCAGAGGGCTCTGAAGGCTGCAGGTAGGCAGAGGGGTGGCTTCTCTGCAGTTTGTTCCTCCTGTGGGAGGGGGGCAGGTGACCTCCAGATTTTAGTTTTCTGCATACAGATGGCCAGAACAAACAAGTCCTAGATGATCGGTGATTCCTCATGTTTAAAGTATGTGAAGAAGGAAAGGGGGTGAGGATGATGCATTAATAGATTCCCTGCTGTATGCACAGCTACTATGCTAAGCACTTTGGGTGTATTGTCATTGAATCCTCACAACAATTCTTCAGTTGTATCACCCTCATTTCAAAGATGAAAACACTAAAGCTCAGAGCAGTGGATGGCTTGCCCAAGGTCACACTGCAAGAACCTTAGCAGGGCCAAGCCTTGAACCAGGTCTGCCAGACCCATGGCTTGCCCCTCAGCCACCAGCTTGGGATAAGGCCACGTGGCCATGCTGTTGGAGGCAGAGGCCCGAGGTAGCTAGAAGTGGCCCCGAGCTTAGGGTCCTCAGGGAGAAACCCCTTCCCAGCCTGCAGGCCCTCCCTCAGGCAGATAAGTAGCCAGCTGTCAGGGCGCCTCAGCTGTGTTTCCTCCCAAGCTGAGAAAGCCCAGGCAGGTGCCTTGGCAGCTACCTAGTACCCAGGCAGAAACCTAGATTGTAAGGAGTTGTCCTCTGTTCCCTCTGTCTTCTTGCCCCAAGGAGATGACAGACTAGGCCTGGGGCATGATGTACATGGGAAAGAGGACAAAGCGATGTGTTAAGTCAACAAGACTGTAGCAAGGTTTGTTTCTCCAGGGGCTTAGGCCCACCCTCAAGAGGACCTGTTCTGGAGACCCCTCCCTTGGTTGAGTGTCTGCTGTGCTGCACTGGGAGTTCTCAGTGGATGGAGACACCAGCCTTGAAACAACTTCTATTTTTTTTTTTTTTTTGAGTTGAGGTCTTACTCTGTCACCCAGGCTAGAGTGCAGTGGCACAATCACTGTTCACTGCAGTCTTGACTTTCTGGGTCCAGGTTATCCTTCCGCCACAGCCTCTTGAGTAGCTGGGACTACAGGTGTGTACCACCATCCCTGGCTGATTTTTAAAATTTTTTTATAAAGGCGAGGTCTCACTATGTTGCCTAGCCTAGTCTTGAACTCCTTGGGCTCAAATAGTCCTCCCCTCTCAGCTTCCCAAAGCACTGAGATTACAGACATGAGCCACCACTCCCAGTTTGAAGCTTCTTTTTTCCAAGATAAGGAGCAGGGACAAGTTGACATAGAAGAAAGCTGACATTTTCCAAGGGTGGATAAATGACTCCACTTTATTTTTTCAGATGGGTCTGCAAGGAAAACAGTAAGGATACTTCATCACCCATTCACCTAATACATGCCTGTGTGTGATGCTGTGCTAGGTATGGGTGCCTTAGAGCAGAGGTCCCCAACCCCTAGCCATGGACCATTACTGGTCCATGGGCTGTTAGGAACTGGGCTGCACAGCAGGAGGTGAGTGGGCAAAACTTCCTGTAGTTGTCTTCTTGCCCCAGGGATTTTATGACTGCTCCCCCTCGCTTGCATTACTGCCTGAGCTCCACCTCCTATCAGATCAGCTGCAGTATTACATTCTCATAGGAGCGTGAGCCTTGTGAACTGTATATGCAAGGGATCTAAGTTGCACCTTTCTTATGAGACTCTAATGCCTGATCATCTGAGGTGGAGCTGAGACAGTGATGCTATATATTTTATTATATACTATTACAATGTAATAATAATAGAAATAAAATGCACAATAAATGTAATGTGCTTCAGTCATCCTGAAACTATCCTACCCCTCACCCCCATCCATGGAAAAATTGTCTCCCGTGAAACTGGTCCCTAGTGCCCAAAAGGCTGGGGACCACTGCCTTAGAGGAGTGGCCCCTCTGGAGTAAATTGTGTGGGCTGCTACCTGCTAATTTCTGGTGCTTCAGAGCTGGGGGTGGGGTGGGGTATGTGGCTGCGAGTAGGGAACGGGGTCCTGCTCCCAGAGCAAAGCCTCCCTGTTCCCTGTTGTACAGCTGAAGAAACTGAGGCTCAAAAAAGTTTAGTGAGTTGCCTAGTCACCCCGTTGAATAAATAGCTAGGCCATAAATGCAGATTGTGAGACAACTGTCTTGTGCTCTGAGCCACTGTGCATCACTGACTCTCACCTGTGTGTTTGCTTTCAGTTCTTTAAGGCCTTTTCCAAGGATGGCTTAGGAGCAACATTGCCAGGTAGGTGTCCTGGTCCTGGTTGTCCTGCTGGCATGTCAGTGTCCTCCTCTCCCTGCCTCCCTCTTTCACTATTGGAGTGAAGAAAGCCCTGACAATTGGTGAGGTCTGCAAGGGTGGGAGGTCCTGACTTGTGTTTTCCATGCCGTGTTCTCCCAGTCAGCCCGGGAGATGCCTTAGGGAAAGCTGGGCCAAAAAAGCCCTTCAGGTGGACCACAACCCAGAGTCCTGGGGTGGGGGTAGGGGTACCAGGTTTCCAGAAGAGCCTTTACATCTCAGTGAGGGTGCCACCCAGAGGGAGACAGACAGCCCCCAGGGAAAGCCCTTGAGGATCCCAGTTCTGAGGGGCTCTCGCCTCCTCTCCAAGGGGTGGATCTCCTTGCTTTCTTAGGGTCACAGGAGGAGCCCCAGCCCCCATTCCTCTAATTCAAAGAAGGTCTGACATTGTCTTTCTTTCCAGAACTAGGTAGCGCCTGGGCCCTGTGTTGCTCTCCGCCTCTCCTGACACTCCCCTCATGCCCATGTTTCTTTACAGTGGCTGGTGCTGACGTGCAGACGCTGCGGGAGAGGCTCATCGACGCCCTGGGGTCCCATCGTGACACATGGCCCCTGGCCTGTCCCCCACTGGAGCCTGCCAAGTAAGTTGGGCTGTGGCAGGCTTAGCACAGTGTGGGCCAGGGTCCCCACCTGGGAGGGGGCAGTGGGCACAGCAGGGTAGGGGACCCAGGTTGATTCTTCCTGCTGGTTTTGCCCATAGGGCAAACACCCCAGTCTGCCAGAGCCACTGCAGAGTGACTGGTGGCAGGCTTCCTACTGCTGCAGATCCCAGCCAAGGAGCCCTGTCTTCCTGGGACTGACAGAAGGGTACAGGAACCCTCCCACCAGATGGGAAGAAAAAGATGGGCAGGGGTCTCCAGGTCACCCCTGCTGCTGCTGCTCATCACCTGTCCTGAGAGTGTGGGGGTTCAGCAGGGTTTCACATGATCTAACCCAGGAAGACCCCTGAGATTTGGCACAGTCATGGAAGAAAAGGAGGACAAATAATTTCATGGAAAAGTGGGGATGGGGGAGCTCAGAAGAATAAAACCCTGCCTCTGTAAACTGAAGGTGGTCATTTTTCTGAGAAGTGGTTGTGCCGGGTGTGAGTGGCCCATGGCTTCCTGAGCTACAGAGCCTCAGTTACAATGGCTGGTGTCCTATATCCATCAGCCAGGGCAGGCTTTCCGGGTTACCTATTTTCTAGGAAGTTGAGGACAATCAGGTTTGCCCAGTCTCTCCCAAAGAGGGAGGCAGGCAGATTGAAAACACTAGGTCCCCCACTTCTGGCTGAGAACTCAAGATAGGAAAGTGCCCACCTCGGGGGACTCTAGCCAAGAAGGAACATATCCAAGGACTAGCAGGGACTGCGAGAGGGAGCCCAGCCTGGAGCACAGTGGAGGTCCTAGGTGGTAAGGCCTCACGAGGCTGCTGTTATGCTCGAAGGCATTCCATGTTTGTGTGTTGGTGCTTTCAAAGCCATAGCCCTGCTGAGAGTTCATGCTTCCAAGTGGCAGTCAGGGTTGACTCCAACTCACAATGACTTCTTGTCACTTTCCCAATTCCTCCATCCTCCCAGAGGGCCTCCACAGTCTTGACGTGGTTTGGGGTTCCACACCCAGACCCCATCTCTCCAGGAAGCATCCATGCCAAGCTGTGCCCTGGTCCTTGCTTCTTCCATTTCTCAATAACTGTGTCTGTCTCTTTCTTATACATACAAATACATCCCTCATGGTGCATTTTCAGGCCTGGGGACCTCAAATGCAACAAATCAGGCAAATCTGCCACTCTCTTGCAAGGTGATTCTTTTTAAAGGACATTAGGAAGGAGACAGGGTGTGTGATGAAAGGTGAGCTGCCTCTTCTGGAAGTCTGAAGATGAGAGTCAGAGAGGTGCTCGCCTCATGTGGGACTTGCTCTTCTGCCAGCCTCCAGAAGGTCCGGGCAAGAGATGTGAGAGGCCAGCCACCTGCTGCTACCCCAGAGGCTGTCAGTATCCATGACACCTCTTTTCATCCACCCAGTGGGGTGCACTTGGGCCCCCGCCTCTCTAGCATATCTATTGGGACTGCTGCTAAGCTGGACTCCAGCATTGGCCCTATGGTGCAGCTTCTGTTTGGGGATGTCAATGCCATGTCATTGGATCCAGGAGAGGGAAATAGGTTGCCAGATTGAGGATGAAAAAAGACAAGCTCCCTTTTCCCCTATGCCTTTTCAGCCACTGGCCTCCTAAGCATGTGTGAGGATGTTCTCTTTTTAATGGGAAGAAGAAACAAGTTATCGTATTTTAAGTTGAAACAGTGAGTTCTTTAAAATGATTGGTAACTTAATTCTCTGATTTGGGGAGAATACATTTGCCTTTTTATTCACTTTCATATTCATTTTCTTTCTTTCTTTCTTTCTTTTTTTTTTTTTTTTTAGAAAGCAGGATTTATTGAGAAGACAGATAAACTCCCATAGTGGGAGGGGACCTGAAGGGGTTGCCCTGTTACCTCATCTTAAAATAAGGAGATTGGAATAGATGGATGGATGGATGGATGGATTGATAGATAGACAGGTTTCCTGCACCTAAGACTTCCTGAATCTTTAGTTCCTTTTTCAGGCCTATTCTAAAGAGGAAAAAGCAGATTTCCCAGTTGAGAGTGAGTTGCAACAGTTCAAGGCCTGTGGCTGATGAGTTCTAGTCATCAGTCTCTCTCAGGGGACCAAAAGATCATCTCCAGTAAGCCTGGGCCTTACCTTGAACGTGGAGACAACCGGTCTCAAAGCATCCTTTCCCTGTCCTCCTCCTGACTGCCTCCTACTCATTCCCAACTCCTAAAGAGACAGGAAGAAACTAAACAGAACAAAAAACCCAGGAGGGGTCAAATGAAGAGCCAGGTAGGTCACAAGGGCAACCTCCTTTGAGAATGAGGACTTGGTTTACTCCTGGAAGGGCCTTGTGTGGAAGCAGAGGAGACCATTTGGCATCTGTCGTCGCCAGCAGATTTGCCTGATTCTCACTGGCCATGGAGAGTGACCACCGAGTTGTGTCTTGCAGGCTGGAGGAGATTGATGGATTCTTTGCAAGAAACAACGCAGAGTACCTGGCCCTGATCTTTGAAAAGGAAGGCTCCTACGTGGGTAGAGAGGTGAGCTGCCCTGAAGTTCCCTGCAATCCTGGAGAGCCATTGGGAGAGGGCTCCAGCTTAGAACCAGACTTTCCCTGCCAATTCTAGGGTCTCGACTGTGTTTCTTAGCCTGGCACTGGCCCGACCCCTGCTGGGCAAAACAGGAAGTGCAGGAGCTGGACCTTTCCATTTTCAAACCTTTATGTCCTGTCTTCATTTCAGCAGGAAAATCTCTCAGAGTCAACAATGGTGTTTAGTTTCACCCTTACTCTCCCATCTTATCTGTCTCCCTGCATTGCCCCGGAACATCTCTTGTGCATGAGCACGTCCACCTCTGCATCTGAGAAGAGTAGAGAAGTCCAGGAGCCAGTGGCTGGATAGAGAGCTGTCAGTGTAGACAGGGGACAGGTCTTGGGAAAATCCCTAGCACAGGCCTCATTTGCTTTCCCAACGATACTAGGAAGACGTTTAACACTACTGAAACCAGATATATCACCTGTTATTTATTGAGCATGGAACTGGATTGCTGACACATGTATCTGCAAAGTCCTGCAATTAATGAAGATAATCAAATAGCATGTCCAGGATCCCATAGCTACTGAACTGGTAGAAGAGGCTTTGAACTGGGGCTGTGTGTTTCCACACTGTCTCAGCCACATGGGACTGTAGTAAAAAATTGGGAAGGGAGATAACATTAGAGATGACCCAGCCCCTTGTGAGGAAGTGGGGTAGGTGCCTTTTACCAGGTGACAGGGACTTGAATCTCCAATCCATCTCTCACGGGATATGTCTGTGATAAGTCATCCGACTTCTCAAGCTTTGTTTCACTGTCTATAGAGTTGTGGTAATTAAATGTCTTCCTAGTATTGTTGGGAAAGCAAACAAGGCAATTCAGGTAAAGGGCATGGAGCAGCAGCTAGCCTGAGGTAGGGGCTTTCCCAAGACCTGTCCCCACTGTCTGCTGACAGCTCTCCATCCTGCTGCTGGCTCCTGGACTTCCCACAGGCAACTTGGGAGCTCTTCCCAGTTGCAGAGGATGATGTACCCATGCAAGAGAGGCATTCCAGGGCAGTACAGGGAGACAGATAAGATGGAAGAGCAGGAGTGAAACTAAAGTCCACCCTGGCCCTGAGAGATTTTCCTGCTGAAATTCAACAGGCAGACTGGGCACGGTGGCTCATGCCTATAATCCCAGCACTTTGGCAGGACAAGGTGAGAGGATTGCTTGAGCCCATGGGTTAGAGACCAGCCTGGGCAACTTGGTGAGACCCCATCTCTACAATAAATTAGAAAATTAGACAAGCATGGTGGCACATGCCTGTAGTTCCAGCTACTTGGAAGGCTGAAGGGGAAGGATCACCTGAGTCCAGCAGGTTGAGGCTGCAGTGGCCATGAGCGTGCCACTGCCCTCCAGCCTGGGCAACAGAGTAAGACTTCAACTCAAAAAAAAAAAAAAAGAAATTCAACAGGCACAGTTGAGAATCTGAGTTGAAACCAGAAGCTGCCTCCCTACCTGGGAGGGAGCAGGGAGGGCAGACAGCTTTGCTGCAGGTATGCCTGATGCTCAGGGGTCCCAGCCCATTTGTGGGCCATGCCTGTCACATAGTGGTGATTGATAAATGCTGACTGGGATCAATTCTTCTCCCTTCCCTTCCCCCAGAGTCCCCTGAGTAACTGGGAGCCGATATCCAGTGGTCTGAGCCAAGCACTCCATGTCCTTGCATAGGTGCTCAGGATGGCAAGAGGGGCAGGAGTGCCTGGTGGCTACGAGTCCAGGCTCTGGAACCAGACTATACTGGGTTTATAGTGCAGTTCCGGCATGTGTTAGAGGTGTGGCCTGAAGACATGATTTTGCTTCCCAGCCTCGGTCTCTTCAGCAACAAAAGAGGAGTTTTATGTTAAATAAATACTTATACGCCTACTATATGCTAGTCATTGTTACAAGCATTTTTCTAAAATGAACCCATTCATTTCTCCTAACCCATTCATTGCTCCTGAGGTTGGTATTATCATTGTTACTATTTTTTAAAGATCATTATTATTATTATTTTGCAAGTAAGCAAATTGAGTCAGTGAGAGGTTTAGTCAGATGAAGCCAGAATTCCAACACAGGCAGCCATGGTGTTCTGCGCTGTCTCTCTTGGTCTCCCAAGAACAGTTTTGGGGTCTTATGATAAATATTCACATAGACCAAAGGTCCCCTCTGACTATGGCAGACATCTTTGCTCAGGGTTAGCTAACTATTTAGGAGTGTACTCAATTCTAGAAGTTTAGTTTGTCTGTATGTTATCTATGAATTTGTTACCATGCATATCTGAACACAATTTTAAAAAATAGTTCTTTTAAAATCCTTTGTGATTCAGGTTTCAGCAAGAAAGTCTGTTCCTGTCTCCAACAATTGAGGTTTCAAACAAACAACAATTGAAGTGTCCAAAAGGGATATTTGCCTGGCAGGGGATATCATGAGAAGGCCCAGGAGTCCCAAACGTCAGAGAGCAGTCAGATGATGGCTTGGGACAACCTTAAGGATGAGAAAGTGCTGGCTTAGGACCCAAAACAAGCAATAAAAATGAAACCACATTTTATTACGCCTTTTACAAATTGCTTTCATTGGAAAGAAAATTATATTCAGTGGAGACTATCCCAGGGAATTTGAAGATATGTGATCTGCACATTCTTAAGGTCCCTCCTCTTGGGCACATTTAACACTTTGTTACCTGCAGGTTAGATGTGACTGGTGGCATGTCTTTCACATGTCACAAGGATCTACTCTTCGACAGCTTCAGATTCTGGAAGAGCATAGCTGCCACCCGGGTACCTTCCCAGGGCAATCAGCTGGGATTCAGCCCTGGCTCCCTCTCCCCAGTGGCTTGGCCCCCAAACGTCCTCCTGTCTCTGCAGGTGACTCTGGACCTGTCCCAGCACCATGGCATGGTAGTACGCAGGGTCCTGAACACAGAGGATGATGTGGTGAAAAAGTTTGGTGTCACTCACTTTCCGTCTTGCTACCTGCTATTCCGGAATGGCTCTGTCTCCCAGGTCCCTGTGTGAGTATAGGCTCTTCCCACCTCCTTTCTCCTCCCTGCCGGGTTCATCCTGCCTGCCCGCCCAGAGACACCACCAGCCTTTCACAGTGACTGACAAGTTCTTTCTGAGGATCGCCCCTGCAGGTGAAGCAGAGGTCTGCTGACTGGGGCCCAGTGCCTTCACAGCCCGGAGACCCAGCCTAGAACCTGGCCTGTCCTGCAGCCTAGACATCCTACCTCAGCCCCCACCCTACAGCCCAGGTGTTCTGCCTTGACCCGAGCACACCCAGTGTCAGCTCCATCCCCACTGTTCTGTGCCGTCATCCCACCACAGCTGGCCCTACTCCCCCCCACTCTTCTGTTCCCAGCCTCACTGGCAGGCTACAAGCCTGGCAAGGACTCAAATATGCCTGACCCACCCTCCCTTTGGTTTTCTAATTGCAGAAAAGTTCATTAGGACCCAGACAATAGCCGGTTCCAAAATGCCAGGAGAAGACAATCAGGCCAGCCTCAGCCCCTCTGTCAGGCTCCCGCTGCTGAATGGCCCGTTAAATGGCGCCAGATGGTGCCTCAGGGCCCTCCCTGGGCAGATGATTGATGGCAGCCTGGCCCTGCAACAGGAGCTCCAGGGCCAGGAAGACCAAGGCTTGCCTGGGGTGCCCAGTGAGCTGCTCCTCAGGGCCGTCCATGCTGTCCTGCATAGGGGAGGGTGGCCACTCGCCCTGACTCTGGCCTGAGCACCAGGCAGCACCAGGGCCGGCCTGTCAGAAGCCCAGGAGGTATGGTGGCCGCAGGGGGACAGGGAGGGACAAGGCTCCTGGGCAGGCCCAGAGGTGCCAGGCATGGTGGGAGAGGAGGCATTGTCTCCCTGCTTGGAGCTGGTGGAGGGGAAAATTGTTTGTGACGATGCTGTTCCTGAGCCATCTGCTCACCAATGAACACTGGGCCAGGACAGCCAAGTGGAAAGCTGTCTTCCTGACGCCAACTCCCCTGGGCGTCCCATCACACTGTGTGGGCCCAGCACCTCCCTCCAGGTGGCATGACCCCAGTGGGTGAGCATGAGTTTGTACTCAGGAGATGTTTCCTTCCCCTGAGGATTCCTCTCAGAAGAGAGAAAGAAATCAAAGACCTATAAAGAGATTTAGAGAATTCTGATGCCTCTTTGTTGTTGTTGCTATCTTTTTTTTTTTTTTTTAAGAATTCCATATTAAACTCCTTGATTTTCGTGGTGAGTAATATCACCTCATGGTACCTCAGAGTGAGCTTGTAAGTGGGTGGCTTGCTCAAGGTCATCTGCCATTTTGAATGTTTTGGTCTGTGGGGAAGGTAGTCAAACCCATTCCTGTCCACGGACAGAATTAATCTTGTTTCCACAGGGCCCCTGGTCTTCCAGACTCTCATGCTTGTCCTGACCTCGGCCCTGCCTGGAGTCAGAGGACAAGTAAGGGATTCTCAGGCCCAGCTGCTCTTCCAGATGGGCAACTGAAATCAGGCTGGTGCCAGAGTGACTTTCTAGAGCATGTATTTGAATAGAAAGGTGAAAGCAGGGCCTGGGTGCCCTCTTTTGGCCTCACTGAAGACAAGATGAAATCATGTTCGAGTATTTCTTACCAAGCATTTCTGTCAGATGGGCTACCTGCGTCCTCTCCTGCCTCTGGTGAACTCTAGGATTTGGCTCTCTGTAGTCACTGCCTGTCCCCCCTGCTCCTCTACCCCCCACAGGCTGATGGAATCCAGGTCTGCCTACACCACTTACCTGCAGAGTCTCTCTGGGCCCACCCGGGAGGCTGCCCCGACCTCAGTTGCACCAACCACTGCTAAGAAGATTGCGCCCACCGTTTGGAAGCTTGCAGATCAGTGAGTCCAGCCCTAGCTCACCTCCTACCTCTCCCCTACCACCCCCAGCCTTTCTTCTGATCACAGATCACCCACCCGTTTCATATTCCCTTGCTCATTCCCGTTCCTTGACATATGTTTAGCATGTGTCATTCTGAGCCCAGGCCCCTCCCCCAGCCCAATAACTGGCCAGGCACAGGGGCCTTTGATGTGTGAGGGCCACAGTTAATTGCAGTAACACCCTCCCTACATCTGTTGCCAGGGCCCAATGCTGACTGTGGGGGTGCCCAACAACATTGCATCTTGTCACACATGATGGAATGGATACGTCCCAGTGCCCACATTCCTTACACTCCACTGGATTCAAGAACAAGTAGAATTGTCTTGAGAGAATACTCTGAGGCCTCCAAACCAGCTTCTGGCCCAGCCAGTTATGTCTGCAGTTCTCGCTGTGTGCTGGGTAGACACGGACCCTGTTCACACAGGCCTTGCAATGTTCCACAGTATCCCTGCTGGGACACTCAGCCTCACTTAAATGCCTACAGTGTCAGGGAGCTTGCTACTTTCCCAGTTCACCTGTATCTCTGTGCATAAATGTAAGCATGAGAGAGCCGCGCCTTTCCGGAGGCTCCTTGGCTTTTCTCTTGGGGTAGCTGTCCCTCTGGATGGGCAGGAGACAAAGCTGTATACCTCTTGCTGTGGCACCTGCTGCGTACTAAGTAGAAATGTCTTGACCAGGGAGCTCAGAGCCAGTCAGGGCAGTGGCCTCCCTGAGAGGTGGCATGAGAGAACTGGGGTAAAGGTGGGCTGATTACTAGAATGATTTTGTCTTCTCATGTGAGGAACTTTAAGGGTGGACAGTGCCAGGAGGGAGATTTTTAGTAAATTAAGGGAGGAGGAGAGAGAGACCAAGAGGTAGGAATGCTCATGATCGATCACATTTTGACTATTCAGATCATTTAAGTTATTGTAATAGCTGATGCTGGCTTATGCCGGGCACCTTCCCTGTGTAATCTCATTCAATCACGGGGCCACTTTTTGAGATGGAGCACAAAAATGGAGAGGTAAACTGAGGCCCAAGAACACCAAAGTGGAGACAGAAAGGCAACTTTGCCTGCGGGGAAAGCATAGGCAGTCATAGCACTCACCCCGTGAGGTGACCCGTTGGCTCTCTACAATCTTAGGAGGTAGGTGAGGCAAGTCTCACATGTTTGTTATACGGGTGAGGTCACTGAAGCTCAGGGAGGCCAATTGAGTCTCCCCCACTCACAGAGGGGTCCAGAGCCCAGGTTCCAGGAGGCAGGGAGAAGCAGCTGGCGCCCAAGGCTTCTGCCATTGGAGCCGAGCCTGGCCCCAAGTGAGCAGGTGGGCATGGGGTAGAACAGCCATCCTGCAGGGCTGTGGGGAGGCCTGAGGCCCCTGTAGCTGTGAGACATCAGCTCAGAAAGCCACACAATCTCCACTTCTCCTCCCGCCCTGCCCAGCCCCCAGCCTTGGTGGACAGCTACACCCTTGGTCTTTCGAAGAGAACCCAGCTTTTCTAGAGACCCGTGGTGTGTGTGCATCTGCTGGTCTGTTTCTTCTTAGAGGTCTTTGCTGAGACCCAAAGACCCCCGCAGCCTGAGGACTGGCCAGGCGCAGGGGCCTTTAATGTGTTGGGCACCTCCATAGTCAGCACTGGGCCCTGGTAGCAGATGTGGGGTGGTGGGGATGTTACTGCAGTTAACCCCACACATTAAAGGCCCCTATGCCTGACCAGTGCTTAGTGAGTCACAGGAGAGGCCGACCCTGGGCCTAGAGAGGGGAAACCCCTACTCTCTGCCGGGAGCTGCTAAGAGTTTACATTTGTGCTTTGATTTGATCTTTCAGCAACCCACCTGTGAGCACTGTATTATTATTCCTATGTCATAGGTGAGGACTTGAGGTTCAGAGAAGTTAAGTAATTTACCAAGGTCACACAGCAAGTTTCTGGTTGAAGAAAGGGGTAACTTATAGGACTCTGTGACCTTCTGCAGTGCCCCTCCTTGTCTCTCCCTTTATCCCTGATGCCTCTTCCAGCCCCATCCCACAGTTAATAATCCTTTTTCTCTCTGCCTCCCCCTGGGTCTTCAGCTCCAAGGTCTACATGGCTGACCTGGAATCTGCACTACACTACATCCTGCGGGTAGAAGTGGGCAAGTTCTCTGTCCTGGAGGGGCAGCGCCTGGTGGCCCTGAAAAAGTTTGTGGCGGTGCTGGCCCAGGTGAGCAGGACCATGCCCTCCTTGTCCATGCAGTTCCACAGATGATTAGTGTGCATTCCTGCAGGCCAGGCACCATGCCAGCTCCTCCTTCCAGAAGGATGCCTGCACCTCTGGCTCTCCTGATCCACCGTGGGTGCTCCCTTCCAGTCTCAGCCGTACCCTGCACCAGCTCTGCACTGCCTAGGATAGCCCTGCCCCATGCTGGGGGTGGGTGGGACACAGAACCAGATGCCCTGACACAGAGGATATTCCCAGCTGGCTCAATGGAGTCCTCCACCTCAGCTTGACTCCCAGAGTGCAGGTTCTCCGTCCCTGTCGTGATCATTGGCAACGCAGGGCCCTGGGACACCTCAGTGGAGGAGCAGATGCTCTTCTGAAAGTCCTTTCATCCCTTCCTGTCCAACCCAGATTCCTGGCCCTGGCCAAGTTATCCTTGTTCCTGTGTAGTTTCCAGGGCAGGTGGCCACCCTGTGAAAGATGGCGCCTACTTACCAAGGCCTGATGTCTGTCCAGGATTTAATCCCCCAACTACTCTTGAAGGCATTCCCCCTGCTTAAGGCTTTTGGTATCCTGTGGGGACCTGAGCCGAGTTCTTGGGCTGCAAAGCCTGTGCTCCTTTGCCACACACCCTCCCCTCTGAAGGAGAGATGTGGGCAGCCTGTCTCTCGCTGCACCCTCCCTCTAGTTCCAGACGTACAGCTGGCTGCCCTGCTGGGAATCCTGGCCTCCTATGCTGGGAACTACTGAGTGGACGCAGGCTCTGGTACTTCAGACCTGGGCCTTCAGGTCCTGCTCTGCACAGGTCTACGGGAAGCGGGGCTGCCTCTGGGTGAGATTTGTGCCTCTCCTCAGGAACATCCTGCCAGCCTTGTCCCCTCCCTCCCCCACCTAGTCCCTGTGGCCACTTGGCTTGGTCACATGAATGTGCAATGACACTTGCATGTGCGACAGCACCAAGAGGGCCCTCTGAGGGACATCACAGCCTGAGGCAAGTCAGCCTTTGACCCCTCGTTGAGGCCTCCTGCAGAATGGGCCCCTGTTTTTCAGGCCATTGCCATAATAGAGACCTTTCCTTGGTGGTCAAGAGCTGCTTGGTTCCACAATACAGAGACCTGGGGCTGATTACCTGGACCCACAAAGGGAAGACCTAGAGCAGTCCCTATGCGTTTCTCCTGTTCTATGAGGGAGCGCCCCCAGGATACCTCACACAGAGATGAGAAGGACACCCTGCCACGCCAGTCCAGTCCACTCTGAAGGCTGCTCCTCTCAGCTGGACTCTACATTGGTTTTTGTTTGGTCCTGGTGGGGCTGTTTGCAGCCAGTATAAGGGGACAGAATGATACCCAGAAAATCTGAGGACAGAGGCTTAAGCAGCAGCCTCTCGGCAGCATGTGCCAAGCTTCCTTCTGCCTTCAGCAAGGCCTGGAAGTGAGTTTGAAGTGAAGACTCCCTCCCTGCTGGCACTGGGGCCTTGAAGAGAACAGGGCTAGCTCCAGAGTGGAGTACAGAGGGTGGCCAGGATGCCCGACAACAGGAGCGGTGGAGCCTGGGACAGGACTTGGAGACCCTCTGCTGAGTTTTGTCCGCACATTCCCCTGGATGGAGCCTGCAGTGTCTGCCCTCCCCTGGCTGGGTAGCTTCCTCCTGAGCAGGAGTGATGGCAGCAGCGACCAGGGCTTGAGCACTGACGGGATGTCTGACTCTGCAAAGGGCTCTTCGCGTGTCATCTTACAGCCCTGTTCCTCATAACGACTGCACAGAGTGGGTTCTAGGATTCGTCGATTTATAGATGAGGAAGCAAAGGCCCAGGGAGTAAAGCACCTTGCCCAGGCCCTCCAGCCAGTGAGTCGCCCGGCTGGATTTGCAGCCACATCTCATCCCACCCATGTGCTTAGCCACCGCGTGATGGCGCTCGCGAGGCACCGAAGGCTTGAGAGTGGACGTGCTCACTGCTGGCTTGGTCCTGGGGACCGCCAGCTCTAGGGTTGTAGGTCAGGTGTCCCACCGGCGCCTGAGAGTGGCGGGTGAGACCAGCCACTGGGTGGCGCGCATCTCCAGGGCTTCCCTGCTTCTGCAGTCCCTGGCTGCAGTTCATTCTGACACCACAGCCCTAGAGGGTGGAGCTATCAGCGAAGTGCTGACCATCAGAAGTGCTGACTTGGAGCTGTCAGTGTGTGCCACCCAGGAGCCTGGTAGGCTGATGGGGGTAGCGTGCCAAGTACTGTCTGGCTTTTCTGTTTGGTTATCATCCTGGCTTCAGGATTCTCCTTCTCACAAATGGTTTTCTGTGCCCTTTTTTTTGCTGCGAGTTTCTCAGGGTTTTAGTCCTCTCCACCGGCCTCTGGTTTTATCATCCCTACCCCCAACCCCCGCTGTGTTGCTGTACATGTGCACACGTGCACTCACACGTGTCCTCCTCCCTGGAGTCCTTTTGGTTTTAAAGTGCTTGATACTAATCAGATTTGTGTTGACTTACTGTCAAAGTAGCTTTTCATGCTCCTTGGAGACTACAGGAGTTCACATCGAGATTTGGATCTGTAGCCCTCTGGACTAGCTGGGCTCCACCGACAGCCCCAGAATACAGATGAGTGGTCTTCTGCCCGCCTAGCCCCGCTGGCAGCCTGTTGGCAAGGCTACTGCTCTATCAGAAGACCACCTGGAGAGAGGGCTGGGTGGCCCAGGCTCCCAGCAGCCCTGGGAAAGGCCAAGTGCTCAGGCCTTCCTCCTGGTGGCAGCATGTGGTCAGGGGGCTGCAGGGGGCCTGAAGCCTAGAGCAGGGAGACCTTCAGGTCCCAGTTCCACCTAGAACCTCCATCTTCCCTGCCCCTTCCTCCAGTCTTACCAGGTGCCCCAGAGCAGAGGCAGTGTGGATCCATGTTTGCATCTTAGGCAGAATGTTTTCCTGGTGGTTTGGGAACTTTCTAAAAATCTGCCTGAACCTTCTGCATAGCCCCTGCGCTCTAAAGGACCATGGAGCTCAGGGGAGCTGCTCCTCACTCTCCAACTCTCACCTGCTCCTCCCACAGTACTTCCCTGGTCAGCCCTTAGTCCAGAACTTCCTGCACTCTGTGAATGAATGGCTCAAAAAGCAGCAGAGAAAGAAAATTCCCTACAGTTTCTTTAAAACTGCACTGGACAACAGGAAGGAGGTGAGTCTCCTCAGTATTCATGGGAATGGAAGGGTTAATACTGTCATCTCTGATCTCCTGCAGCAATTTGCGTTTGGAAAAGAGTCAGTGATCTTGGTTGGGTTCTCCCATTAATTATTAATAAACTACTGTTTATTGAGCGCTCTATGTACATCTCTCATTTAATCCTCATAACATGAGTGGAAGGTAGATATTACTTCCATTTAGCAGATGAAGAAACTGAGGTTAGGAGAGGTGAAGCAACTTGCCTGAAATCATGCAGCCAGTTATTGGGCTGGGATTAAAAACTAGTGAGATGCCCGAGTTTCCGATGACTCCTCTTTGCTGTTTCTGCACGTGGTGTGCCTCATTGTGCCTCCCTGACGCTCTTGGGACTCCTGTTCACACTGCTGTTTGCAAAGGTGGACCATAGCAGGCAGCAGAGGCACAAAACCGTATAGACTTGTAGGATGTCAAAGCTTCAAGGGACTGCAAAGATCAACCCCTTGTTTTACAGATGAGGAAATTGAGGCCAGAACAGGATGTCACTTGATCTGTTCACCTGTTCTCTAGATCTGCTGCCCCTTCAGTGTGTAGACCCAGTGGCAGGGAAATGCCCTCTTCCAGGTGATAGTCTAGCTAGGGACCTCATTAGTCTTAGGGCTGTGCGCTGACCTTGAAGTCTCCTAGAAGCTTCCCTCTCTCCCTCTCACCCCACCCTTCTCTGTATATGCTCTCACTCTCGTGCATATGCCTTAGGGTGCTGTTCTTGCCAAGAAGGTGAACTGGGTCGGCTGCCAGGGGAGCGAGCCACATTTCCGGGGCTTTCCCTGCTCCCTGTGGGTCCTCTTCCACTTCCTGACTGTGCAGGCAAGTCAGCACAGTGCAGGCCACCCGCAGGAGAAAGGTAAGTCCAGGACCTGTGCACCTCGCTATGCCCCGACCCACTCTGTTCTGCCCGCCATGGGAACAGAGTGCAGGGTCACTTCTGGTATTCCCTATCAGCTCCCTCCTGCTGACCGGCATTTAGGGTGGGAAGAGACAGTCTTGGGGCTCCAGCAAGATCTCTCCATCTGCAGTTGGCCACACATGCCCACATGGTGCTGACCTCACAAAGGGGCGGGCTTGAGACTTAACTAAGTCGTCTTCTCCGAGTGGGGCCTCCAGGTTATGGGGTGAGGCCTCTGGCTCTCCCAGGGATTGTAGCTTATTTTATGTGTGGTCTCCATTATGATTCAATTTTTTGTATATTCTCATAAAGAAAAAACCTGTGTCTATTTCACAATTTACATTATGAAACCATGCCCTTCGAACAATTTTTATTGTTTCCCACCGAAAAGCAATTTTCCAGGGGGAGTTGGAGAGACACCTTTCCCTGCTACCCTGTCTCCTCCCCACTCACTCCTGTTGTGAGCAATGGAAGGGGGCGCCCAATTCAGTACACACTGAGAAATCAGGTTCCTGCTGTGTCCTGGCTCAGCTGGAAGGATACAGAGGTGAGATGGAGACAGTCCTTCCCTGGTGTGAGGCTGGTGGATAGACAGCTCCCTGCTTTATGCCAGGGCTGGGTCCAGGCAGAAAGAGGGCATATAGGTGAACAGAGAGCGGGCTCTCCCATGGGGACCTCACAAGGCTTCACAGGGAGGAAGGAGTTGGGCTGGTGGACAAGGGGGCTTCACTAGGAGGAAGAGTGTCCCAGGCAGAGGGAATAGACCGCACAGAGGCTGAATGGGTTGGGAGACCTGGATACAGCGAGACCTGAGGATGAATCTGCCCTCCTGGGCCCATATTCCAGGGCAGGAGATGACAATACACAGATGGATTGTTTCAGGCATAAGCAGTAAGCACTGTGAGGAGGACAAAGCACAGTGGTGTGTAGGGCCCTGTGTCTAGAGGGGTGCTTGGGAAAGGCTTCTGTGGGGAGGGTCCCTGTGCTGAGCCCCCTGTGGTGAGGAGACAGCAGCATGGGGCATCTGGAAGAGAGGTCTCCAGGCTGTCTGAGAGTTCTTGGGCTGCCATGACAAATGCCACAGGCTGGGAGCTCAGATGACTGATTACCTCTCAGTTCTGGAGACTGAAGTCTAGGATCGGGGTGCCATAGGATTGGTTTTTTAGTGAGCCTCTCTCCTTGGCTTGAAGATGGCTGTCTTCTTCCTGTCTTCATATGGCCGCCCCTCCCCTGTGTTCAAGATTTCCTCTTCCTACACGGACGCCAGTGGTATTGGATTAGGGCCGACCCTAATGACCACATTCTACCTTAGTTACCTCTTTAAAGACCCTGTCCCAAAGGAAGCTACCTTCTGAGGTACAAGAGGTTAGGACTTCAACATAGGGACTTGTGGGAACACAATTCAGTCCATAGCTCGGGCCCAGAGCTGGCAGCTGCAGAGAACAAGCCTGATGTGTTGGCAGCAGCAAAATAAGGCTGGTGTGGCCAGAGTGAGGGAGATGAGGCTGGAGAGGGATGAGTTCATGTGGACTTAGAGGCCTTGGTGAGGGAGAGAGCTGGATTTTGGTGTTGACATGTTGACTAACAGGAGTGACACAGGCACTTAATGCCTTAGAAAGGTTTCTGGCTGCTGGTTGGAGAGCGGGCGACAGTGGGGCAACAGGGAGGCAGGGTAGCTCACTAGGAATTTGTGGCGATCGCTTGTGAGTGGTGGTGGGGCCGGGGCTGGAGTTGGAGGTGTGTCCATGGAAGAAGTGATCATATTTGGGAATATTGTGGAGACAGAGCTGATAGGACTTAATGGTGAACCAGAGGAAGAATATGTGGGAGCCAGGATGCGAATGGCCTCCAGGGTTGTGGGGCCTGTGAGCTGAGGAGTGGGAAGCTCGGTGGGAGGGTGGAGTCAGTGGTCTGTTTTGCCTGTTAGACCTCTGAATAAGGATGCACACACTTGAGTCTGAGCTCTGGGGCATGGTTAGGAGAGAGAGCAACTTTGTGCTCATTAACATGGGAAGGTAGAAAAGGGTTGGGACCTGAGCTCCAGGGCACTGTAGTGTCCAGACTGCTACTGGGAGGAGCAGCCAGTGAAGGAGACTGAGAAGGAGTGGCCGTGGCTAGCTCAAGGGCCCCAGAGTGAAGTGTTTCAAGACACAGGTATAGTGGATCAGGCTGAAGATCGGCCAGGAGGCAAGATGTTGGTGATAATAATGGGCAGGAATGGGGTGTGACTGGGTCACAGAGGGTATTTCTGTATTGTAATTGTTTCTACCTATCAGGACAATTCCATATTAAGGGAGAAATTGATACAGTAAAGAAAGAAAATATTTACAGGGGTAAAATCCCAGAGGAGGTGAGAAAGGGGTGAGGCCCTGAGCAGGAGGGGAGCCGGAGGCTGTGAGGAGGGCGAGTGGTAGGGAGGTGGGTGAGGGATGTGGGGTGGGGCAGTGGGCGCTCCAGCCCCCTATGACCTTTTCCGCACTGTCACAAAGAGCCCAAGTGGCCTGCCGAAGAGTGTAGATCTCACCCAGCGCCCAGACGAGAAGGGGCTCTGGATTAGGAGTTGGGGGGAAATGGGGTCACCTGTAAAGTGACTCCTGGCAGGTAGAGAAGTAGGCATGGGGACACTGGGCCCCTCCTCACATGGGCTGGGAGTGGTGTACCTGTGCAGAGGTGACTACGATGGGACTGGGGGACACCGGGCAGCCTGTGGAGGGAACAGCGAGGGCAGATGACCTGGAGGGCCTGGTACATGGTGTTCCCTCTCCCCTGTAGCCCAGGCCCAGGAGGTTCTCCAAGCCATCCGGGGCTATGTGCGCTTCTTCTTTGGCTGCCGAGACTGTGCCAGCCACTTCGAGCAGATGGCTGCTGGCTCCATGCAGCAGGTGGAAAGCCTGGATCAAGCTGTTCTCTGGTTCTGGTCTAGCCACAACAGGGTCAATGCTCGCCTCGCAGGTAAGAGAGGAGTCACCTTTGGGGGAGGGAACTTTTGGGTCCTGGGCCAAAGGTGGGGGCAGGGACACTCACCCCTTAGTAACACCCAGCCCTGTTAACCAGTGTCAGCATTGTGAGACTCGTTTTCTAGATGAGGAAGCTGAGGCTTTGACAGCACAAGACCCTGGTCTTCTGATAGATACCACTGCTCACTTTTCCCTGCACCAGGACCCACCGGCCTATTGGAGTCCCTCCCTGCCTCCTCGCCTCTGCTTTCTGGCTCTTGGCCCATTACTCACATGAGCAGGGAGGAGAGAGCTGGGGTTTCTCTCCCTGGGAAGGGTCCAGTGAGCAAATGGGCTGATAGAGAGACCAGGTCCTTCCTGGAAATACCAGGACTCTTCCTGCAAGGGAAGCCTTGTCTTCTGCATCCCCTCTTTCACATGTTTCCTTTCCCCTGCACAAAAGCCTGGTGGTCCAACAGGCAAAAGCACTCAACTCTAGGGACTCAGATGTGGAAAGAGCCATCTGTGGAGAGGAGGCGGCTTGTCCATGGGGAGGGAGACACGCATGTGCCTGTGACAGCCCTCCCGGGGAGGCAGCGGGGAGCCAGGGTTAAAGGAGCTGAACAGAGCAGGTGGTGCTGCAGGCGCCTGCCCTTGGTCCCCGTCTCCTGGGGCCTCTGTGTAGACTTTGAAAAGAAGACACGTGCCTGTCTCCTCCCACCCCCACCCCACCCCTGCCACCAAATGCTCCATTTGACCCTCCAGCCCCATGACCTCGGCAGGCTCCCAGCTGCCACTGCAGGGCCAAGAGCCTGGGCCTGTCCCCACGGGGCCAAAGCAGGGCAGCTCCCCACGCTCTCTGGTGCGGTCCTTTCAGAGCAACTAGCAATTAGCAGGCACAGAGTGCTGGCTTTGCAAGGTCCAGTGACTGTTCCTGCGTACTGGGCCCTGGAATCTACCTGTTGCTCCTCCACAAAGTAACCATTCTGACTTTTGTGTCAGTTGCTGCTGCTGCTGCTTCACTGCAGTCAGCAACTCTCCCTCCTGTTAAAACCTTCAGGAGAGGCTCTTCCTGCAAAAGGGGTGGGCTGACTGGCATTCCCAGGTGAGCTGGGCAGGGGCTGGTAGCTGACCTTCTGGGGCTCATCCTGGAGCTCTGTGAGTGCTGTCCCCACCTGGGCCCCGCCACCCACAGACTCTCCTGAGTACCCAGGCCTCCCCACCGCCCCACCCTCACCCCAGGGCTGCAGCTGGGAAAAGGAGGGCCCCTGTGGGTTACCATGCACAGCCAACTTTTGTTCAAAAATGCATTTTCCTTTTAACAATCTTTTCACTGTATAAAACTTGGAAACTTTCAGAAAAATGCAGAAAAGACAGACACTAGCAGAGCAACCAAAGACTGCAAGCCAGATCATTCTGTCTTCTCGCCCTTTCCCATGCCCAGTCCAGGGGTACAAACTGGCGAAAGGCACAAACAAAGGGGGCGGTGGGTCTGGTCAACACTGGGAAGTGGCTGGAATGGAGCCTCTCCACACTTCCCTGGACCATAGAGTGCTGGGCTGGGGGTAGGCAGGAATCTTCCTTCTCTTCCTCCTCCGTC